TCGGACGGGACTCCGGGATCATTAGAGTCCTTTGTCGGATTTAAGTGCTATTAAAGATCGGCATTATCAAGGAAGGGTTGCGATTATTACTCCTATTGTTATTAGCCTGACGATTATTATGAATCTGAGCTTTATGAGTAGTAGTAGTAGTAGTAGTAGTAGTAGTAGTAGTAGTAGTAGTAGTAGTAGTAGTAGTAGTAGTAGTAGTAGTAGTAGTAGTAGTAGTACTGTTATCAGAATAACTACTAGTATCATGAGTACTAGTATTGCTGTTGGTAGTAGTAGTTCCGTTTGATGCTTGAAATTAAGTAGGAAATTCAAACCCTTATCTTGCGGCTCGCCAAGATACCCCTATGGTACAGTGTTTCACAGACACTGTAAGAGGATACTGATCATTCCCCAACCAAAAGGCCCTCATAATCATATAACCTACGTGTCCACTATCCTGGGGAACATTAGGTTAGCCTTTGGCAGTATATTGTCATATTAAGGGATTGTAGTACCCCAAAAAGGTTACGGTTAAGGGTTACCTACTCAGAGACTCCAATATACCTTCAACAGGGAATATACGTTAAATTATAGTAGGATCCCTAGTATGAGTTAAGCTGTATTCCTCAACTAAAGGATATTGGAGTGTCTGAGTACTCTACTACGGTTGATGCCTGCATTACCTTAACGACCCTAGACTATTATGGGAATTATAGTATATTCCTTATTATTCTTAATGCACGATTTACATCACCAACCATAGGATAGTCCACCCCCACTTAATTCCCTTATAGAAGCCTTATAGAGCCCTTGAAGGAGCCCTTCAGTAGGTAGCCTAGGATCCCTAATATGATTTAAAGAATGTTCCTTTATTAAGGGATATTGGAGTCTCTACGTAGTACTGGGTAGTAGTAGTACTACTACTACTACTACTACCACTACTACTACTACTACTACTACTACTACTACTACTACTACTACTACTACTACTACTACTACTACTACTAGGGCAGCCCCCCCCCCCAACCAGAACCGCCCACTTTTAATTTTGCGGCCTCGGCTCCGCCGAGTCGGCCGCCGGCCTAGGACATAGCTTAATTGGGGTTGTAGGGTTTAGGGGTTAGGGTTGAAACGTTTAGGGTTGTAGGGTTACAGGTTTACGGGCTGGTGGCTTAGGGTTTAGGGTTGTAGGGTTTACGGTTTAGGATTGAGGGTTTAGGGGCGTACGGTTTCGGCTTCTTTGGAGTACTCTTTACCGTCCGCCAGTTGCCCTTTAGTCAGAATGCCTGTCAGGCAGAGGCAATGCTAGGGCTAGGGCCAAGGATTAGGGTTTAGGGTTTAGGGGTTAGGGGTCTAAGGTTTACGGGTAGGATGTAGCGTTGAGGGTTATGCTTGCTCTGTGTTATTCTTGCGTTCGTGGCCAATCCCCAAAGATCCGCTCAACCTCAATGCCTGGAGACTCTCGTATGATGAAGATACATCCTTAGAGGTTCAATATACGTCGGCCCTATGCTAAACTGCAAGGCCCTTGTATTCCAAAACCCTGCATCCGGAAGCCCTATAACAGCCTGCAGCCTCGTAGTTCGAACACAAAACCAAACCCATGTAGTTCGAGTGAAATCCCTAAACCCTAAGCCCTAATCCCTAAACCCTAATCCCTAAACCCTAAACCCTAATCCCTAAACCCTAATCCCTAAACCCTAATCCCTAAACCCTAGACCCTAAACTGAAACCCGGAAGCCTTCTCAATTCCTCAGGGTCCCGGCTGTCACTCCGCTGCGGGCTCCGACTGTCGTCCGGCCTCGGGGGATGGTCCAGACTCGGTACTGTGGGGTGCAGCGTAATAGGGGGTTTAGGGTAATATGGAGTCTAGGGGTTAGGGTTTAGGGGTTTAGGGGGTTTAGGGGGTTTAGGGTTTAGGGTTATATGGGGTTTGAAGCTTAGGGTTGAGAAATTGGGATTCGAGGTTTAGATGGTGTAAACATACCAAAACTCATGTCAAGGAACTACGGATGCAGGTTGCCCAAGACCCAACACCCTGAACCCCTGAACCCCGAACACTGACCCTGTAATGTATGGGCCTTAACAAATAGAATGTGGTTTCGGAGTATATTATACTATTCATTATAATAAGGAACCCCCCAAAACAGCATTGAGAGTTATCTCGGCCCCTACATTAAATCCTCATAATATCCCTTATAGTTAAAGACCCCTTTAAAGGAACCCCGGCCCCTATAATACCCCTTATAGTTATAGACCCCTTTAAAGGAACCCAGGCCCCTATATAACCCTAAACCCTGCTCTTCCCTCGAGGGCCCGGACTCTCCCATGGCGCGCGCCGCCACAAGGGGCCAGGAGCGAGAAATCAGAAGATTCGAGGGGCTCTCATAGTGGGGCCCGAAGAGTTCGAACAGGTCTTTCGCTGGGTATAGTATACTAGAAGTAGACAGGGACTCTATGGTGAGACTCTTGGCTTCAAAGCTTCCTACGGAGGTTAGTGCGGGGTTTTATGAGGGGCTTCTTTCTAGTGAGGTGGGATAAAACTTGTGGTTTCAAGGGGTGCAGGGACTAAGCCCCAAGAAGGCTGAAAGCTCCCCAGAGCAGGGAAGGCACTTGGGTGAAGTATCGAAGTTCGGCCTTTATTGTATTTGTGCTATGCCCGACTCCCAAACCCTATTCTAACCATTAAGACTCTTATGTTATGGTGTTTGGGAAGTTACGGGGTTATGACAAACCCAGGTTTCGCTGGAGTCCGTGGCTGCCGTTGCTTTATGTAGCTTTTCTGGTTGTCAAAGCTGTTTGGCAGAGTCGATTGGCTCTGATGTGCCTGATCGTACTCAACTCATGTCATGTCTGCATATGCAGATGACTTGATGGCAGCAGGAAGAATTTCGGCAACGTGTTGGAAACTCGCAAGACGCTCCCAGCGAAAATGATTGACAAGCAACTGCTTGGTAGACGACCACGCCCCTTCCGACTCAATGCAATGCTTCACGACAGAAAGATGGCTGCCTTTAAGAAACCAGGATGCTGAATCCTTCAGTTTCCGACTTGAGAAGATGGAGGTGGCTATGGCAGACACTCCCGTGTCCCCAGGATGTTTCCGTGTATCCCGGGCAAATCCTTCCATGAGCCCCGGCCGCGAGGACGGCGTCGACGCTGATCTTGGCAAGCTGGTCTTTCCGGCTGCTGACCACCTTTCGGGGGAAGCAAAGGTGCCAAAGCTTCCCAGGCTCCCCTTAATCCCTTATTAATGGGGGGGCTCCTTTCAAGTACCCTTTAGTACTTCGGGCCTTCGGGTCCCAAAATGGGATGATCTAGGACCCGGGGTCCCAGGAGCACCTTGGAGCCAAGAGCAGTCGTGGCCGCCTTCTTCAGCGCAGCCTGCTCCTGGGCCGTTTGGGCTGAGCCGCAAACGTAATGCCGCAATCGTTCAGAGTAGTGAGAAGAGAGTTTCGGGGTGCAGTCCAGTGTAAGCATGATCCGGCCCCTGTAGTATGTATTCCGGGCAGAAGCTGACAAGATCCTTGTGTGGACGCTTGGTCACTAGGATTTTTGCCATAGATCAACGTCACCTGTTCCATTAGCTGCCCGACCTCGACTGCAAAAACCATTCACTTGCTGCGATCGGTCCCTGGTCTGGTGTGTACACCAAGTACGAACACATCATGTGTCATATGGGTGGTTGTCAAAATTAGGGTCCCTTTTTGGGCACCCTAAATATTAGGTGCCGTACTATAATCAGGACCCAAAGAGGGACCCTACTTTTGACAACCACCCATATGTTGCGGCCTATCGTCAGCTTTCGAACTTGGAGCCCTGATCTTCACAGCCACTCCTGCGCCTGAAACTTCTGCTGACAGAAAGGCGGACAAGCTCAAAGCCCCATGCGTCAAAAGCCTGGCTCAGTGCGGCTGAAAGACATCTGCAAGGATGTCTACGAGCTTTGAGATCTCCTCCACTCGCTTCACGGCCACCTGCTGTCGACAGGGCTTCGCCATCTCAACCCCGCCCCCCACAGTGGCAGAGAAAGGAATGCAGGCACCGGTTCAGCTGGTTCTACAACGGCATCTCTACATGTACTCGTTGACTTAAGCGACAGCTGCATGGCGGTAAACACCACCCTCCATGAGAGTCAGCGCTAGGGCTGCGCTCCTCGAGGCAGGGAGCTTTGGAATCTGGGCGTGGCAGAAAGCAAGGGTTTAGGTTGCAATTCTTGCTAAACGTCACCTCGACCTTGGCCGAAGCGGTTAGAGGTTCCCGGCTCCCTGACCAGATTCTCACAGCGGAGAACACTTGGCTCCCCTTCTATCCGCCCCCCGCCCGTGTGCAGACTGCTCTTCGCCTGCGACCTGGCCAAAGTGGACGTTTCGGGCTCCTTCCTATAGTTGCACGATAATACACCCCCCAAATCCTACTCTGATAATTTGACCCCCCATATTGTACTGGCTTCACGCAACAGCAAAAGGCCTCGCAGGCTTTCTCGAAGCCGGTGGCGATGCGAAGCGGGTGAATGCCCTTCTCGATGAGGTCCAAGGACTCCCAAGCAGCGGCATGAAACGAATGAGAGTTCAGAGTGAGGTTAATTAAGCTTAATAGGAATCCAGAAATCTCTGACATCCAGCAGCTCTATCCTGGTGTCTCCCCAAAATTAGTTTGGCTAGCGCCCCCCCCCCCCCTCCCTCCTTTTCCAAGGATCTTGGAGCAAAGGCTTTTTGGAGCCAGCGCATGCAGGTGTGCACTGCGAGAGCATTAACTGGGCACGTCTCGAAGCGAGGGGTGTTTCTGATTGCAAGGCCCTTCCCAACTGCAATATACGGGCCTGAAACAAACAATTAGAATAGCGTTTTGGGGTACATTATACTACAGTCAGAATGCGGACGCTTAAACAAGAACTGAAGCAGGCCCCAACTAAAACCTATAGGCTATAGGCAATACCGGCAGAATACTTTGACAAATGAGTCAGACCCATAGCTTCGTGATCGCCGAGTGAAGCTCACGAAGTTCAGGTTTCAGAACTCCGTGGCATCATCCAAGGGATCGTCGGGCGCATTGGAGACGATTCCAGGCCGCACGTCCGTAGGTCCTGAGGGCTTACGCCTTAAGGCGAAAAAACACGATAATTACAGCAATTTTACTAGCAATAACCGTCTAGCAATATTCTTAGTATTGATAATGGTCATAAAAATCATTATAGTAATCATAATAGTAAGAATAGACTAGTAAAAGTAATAATGGTCATAACAATAAGACCCTGTCTTCGAAGCTGAGACTTGACAGTCATTTCATGTAGGGAGTTAGAGGAAAGCTGGTGTCAGGGCATCGACCAGAAAAGGGCGTTTCCGAAAATAGGGGACCCTAATATAGTACCCCAAATAGTAGGATCCTTATTATAAGGACCCCAAAATACGGTACCCCTAATTTTCGGAAACTCCCAAATGTGCTTGGCAAGCCTTTCCTTGCCGACCCGGGGCCCGATATATAGGCGCCTTCATAGTTCGAATGGGCTTCCTTTTAAAGGGGCCTACAAGGGTTACTATAAGGGCTACTGTAAGGGTGTAGTATGGGGGGCCTGAATAGGTTGGAATAGGGTTTTGGGGCCCGCTGTACTAGAATTATAATAAGTAACCCCGACAATAGTATAGTATAGGTAATTGTTAAGGCCCCGATAGTAGCCACTCTGAAAGCGCTCATCTTTGCCTTTTCAGAGGCTCGCCTTGACAAAACAACAAGCTTGAAATTTTGTACGTCGCATCCCAAGGCCAACTCAGCACCCCTGGATAGACCACACCCAAACGAGGAGATCCGATGTGCCAGAAAATTTCACAAGCCAAACATGCACTGAAGTAGGTCCTGCCGATGATCACGGCCAGATATGCACGCGCACACACACACACACAAAAAAAAAAATCGAAACCCAAGTGTCATCACGCCAAAGGTGCCCCCTGGACTTGCTGAGAGCAGCACCATCTACCCAGCCGAGGAAGTTCATGTGGTTGACACGGTCAATCTCAGTCGTAGGGAGGTGCCCGGTAAGCTTCCAACATCAGTTCGACGCAGCTCTCCCAAACTCCGCTTCGCGGATCAGAGTTCCGGGGTGCACTCGGAGATTTAAACTATAAGTTATAAGTAAGGTACTGCCCCCATACAGTAAGAGTCTATAATAGGGCTACTATGAAGGTCCGAACATAACTGTATTATGAATATTATTCAACTATTACTGAGTGGGGGCCGTACCCAAACTACAAGTTTCCTTCAAGGCGGAGGGCTTCAGAAACTGAGCCTCCCTCCTCCTGAAGGGGACCTGATGTGACCCTGCCTGGGCGCCGGGCCCAGTTCGTCAAGTAGTACTGTGGGTTTGGAGATCCCTTGGCCAACTCCTCTGCAAGCTTAAGGGCTTTGTACTAATGATGATGATAAGAATAAGAATAAGGACAACGCCACCAATAATAACAATAGAATTAATAATAACAATACCAAAAAAAACAGTTTTAATGATAACAATGATAACAATAATAACCTTAATAACAACAATAACAATAATAACAATAGGAACATCAATAACAACGATAAGAATAGCAATAATAACAATACTAACAATAATGACAATAATAGCACAAAAACAACACTAATAAGAATAACAACAAGGACAATACCAACAATAGTAACAAAATAACAACAAGCATAACCATATTCACAGCTTGAGGGCTCGTTGGGCTTTATGTGGGTTACGAAAAAGTCTGTGTGAGGCTCCATTACGAACTCCGCAGCAGGGCACAGTATGATCTAGTCCAGTCTTGTATGGTATGGTATACAGCGCTAGAATCTAAAAACAGTAGTCATGTGCCATACTAATACTTGATCGTAAGGTTAGTATTATCTACCACAACAGTACGTATTTAACATTGACAGCAATACTTAATGTTATTAAAGTAGATTAGATTGATAACAACAATAATTCTCACCCAGTTGGCTCCTGAAGACTCTTCTTTGCATCCAGCCATGGCCAGAAGCCAGGTTTCCTCTTGGAGAGGGGGTGGAGGGGGAGGGATGAGGAGTTCTTCGAGCATGTTTCACTGTTTCTGCTCTGGTTTTGGGTGTTTTGAAGTGCGTTGTTGTGTTGGGCTTTTTTGGGGCTTCGGGGTTTGAGGGTGCAGGGGCAGGAAAACATCAAATCTACGACGTTCGGCCGTAGCTGCACTGGCCGCCTGCCGCCGGTCCCAGGGAACGGCATCTGAAAGCAACTCCAGATTATTCACGCTTTCAGCATGGCTGATGCGAAGCAAAGCGTGGTCCTTAAGGAAACCCTCGCCCGAGAAAGCTGGAAATGCTTATGAGTTCTCTTACACAGACCACGACAGCGCAAGCTGCAAACATCCGAAGCAAAATCAACAGAAGAGTCCAAAATTTCTGGGTAGTTGCCTCGGCGGTGCCGGCGGCGCCGGAAAATGGCCTCGACTAGGCGTCCATGCTTTGGGGTTTTGATGCGCGGTAAGGAGAGTTGGTTGAAGGTCTCAATGAAAAGGACAACATTGACGGGGCCCTTGATCGTGGGCAATGTCTCACGTCCTTGCGGCCAAATCCAATGCTCTCGACCCTCCCGCTAGATGCCCTTGCAGACACCAAATCAGCCGGGTGACGGCCGAAAGGATTGTACTCGCCGTTTGCACCAACAAATCGCTCGGCATAGCCTCCGGCTCTGGCTCTCTTTGGGACTGAAATCCCTGATAAGGTCCGATGCTTCTGGCTTAGCGGTTTAGGGTTTAGGGCACACAAAAGGTTGAAGGTCTGCAGGTCGTATCATGATGTCTCTTGCTTTGTACAGCCAGTTGCCATCGTTTCGCAGGACCTGTATCACAAGTCTACGGAAATAGCAACAACTCAGAGAGAGGCGGCCAGGATTCAGTTTACAGGTAGTCGGCAGCTAGCAGTTGACATGTAATATCCTGTGGCACAGTAGCTGGAATATGTGCTCTCTGCTCGATCGGTTTGAAGCTCCAGCTTCAGGAACTTGCCTGGGTGCTCAGGATGTTGCACAGTCCAGCAGCGGTTGTTGTGGAATCACAACGACGATGTCACAGTTCTCCAACTGCAGAGGACATCACACCCTCAAAGCCTATGATTGATTTCTCACTGAAACACAAAAAGCTGAAGACCAGAAACGCCCATAAACGGAACAAATAGCCCCGAAATTGTAAATACATCTCCTCATAAATAACCATGGCAATAACAAATATCATCACTATTAAAACTGTTATAACAGAAGTACACAAGTGAGTAGGTAGATGCATAAACACATGATATGACCGTGGAAACAGCAGCAATAGTAATAATACCATGCATATAAAGATAGTACCACTACTATGACGATTAGTATTGCTGCTTTCATTAATGCTACTGCTACTGCTCATGCTGGTGCTGCTGCTGCTACTACTACTACCACCACCACTACCACTGCTGCTGCTACTACTACTTACTACGACGACAACTACTCCTACTCCTGCTCCTCCTACTGCGCTACTGCTACTGCTACTGCTACAGCTACTGTTACCCTGCTACTCTGCTACTGCTACTGCTCCTTCTGCGCTACTGCTACTACTACTGCTGCTGGTGTACTACTACTACTACGACGACGACTACTACTACTACTGTTGTTACTACTACTGTTGTTACTATTACTACTACCTTCATTCTGAAAAGCCCGATTGTTGTCGCCATTACTACTGCTACGATTCTTATTTCGGCGCCGCGGCCTTCCGAGCCAGGCCTGCTCCCAGCGCCTCCACGGGAGCCTCTTGGGCTCGGCGGGACCCACAAGGGAGTAAGTAGGGAATTGGAAGAATTAGGGGTTTTAGGGCTTCAAGGGCTTAGGGATGTTTTTGATTAAGGAATACGGAATACTACGGAAAAGGTTCGGGTTTAGGGCTTTATAGGGTTTGCATGGGGCATTTATGGGATTTTAGTACAAGTGTATGCACCATTGATTGAGGGACAGACCTGGAATCAGAATATTGAAAGTCGCCCTAAGCCTTGAAGCCCCAAGGACGAAGACTGTCGAATATAGGAGCATAGGGTTCTGGTGTAGACTATATTATACGATCATACTAAGGAACCGCATAAATAGTATTAGCAATCATTAATTAAGGCCCCTATACTAAATCCTTATATTAGCCCTTGCAGACCCCTTGAAAGGAACCCTACTCTAATTATGAAGGCCCCTTAAGCACCCGTCGGGGCAACTTGGGCCTTCCTTTCTCCGCCGCTGCTTCTCTGCCGCTTCCATCATCTGCTCCGCGTCTCTCTCATCCTGACGGTGGGCTTAGGGTTTAGGGCTTGGGAGGCTCGGGGCTTCGGGGAGGGTTTGGGGTTTGGGGTTTAGGGTTTAGGGTTTAGGGTTTAGGGTTTGCGGTGGCCGTGGCTTTGAGATTTTTAGGTTTACTGCAGCGCACCGGTTCACCAACCTTCCCCAACGCCCGGAAACTTGAAGCAAGCCCTTAGAGAGACAGCGAAGGAGAGGAGAAGACAACGAAAGCAAGCACTGAACCTCCCAATACCTTAAGCCGCAATGATATGCAGTGGCACTCCCCGCCCTTACGGTTTAGGGTTTAGGGTTTATATAGGGTTATGAAAAATTAGGGTTTAGGGTTTATATAGGGTTATGAAAAATGGCCCTGGGGACCCGTCGGAGAATGAGAGGGAAGCAGGCCTTGCTTTTCATAAATCTCGGATCGGTCCTGCGGCGAGGCTTGAGGGGGTGTAGTTTGGGGTTTAAGGGGGTTTGGGTATAGGACACATTTTTGCGTCTTACTCGCACTTCCAAGGAGTTCCAGAATCAATCCAAGGCTAACAATTCTTGCCTCGTTGCCTCCAATACTGAACTCATGCGGCACAGGCAAATACCAGTCTGGCACTAACGCCTGGTTGTCATGACTGCCGTCCTAGGCACACACTGCACCAGCTGGACAACATCAACTATCGACAAAATTAATGTTGCAGAACTGCGCGCTAATAACCTTAACCAAATTCCGCAGGCCCAGAGCCTGCATGTCTGTAGACAGTGTCGTCCAGGTATTCCTTCCACACCCGAGGCTGCACTGAATGCCGCAAAAGCAAAGAAACCACAAAGCTGCAAGACTGAGACTGACCTCAATGCCAGGTGCAAGACACCGCTCTGATGGTTCTGCATATCGCACATACACGCGCTGTCCAGACGGATTGCAGCAGACAGGCACGCCCTTCCGCCGGGGCACTCCCTCCTGGGCACATGCTCTGAGCGTTGACAAATTCAGAGCTCATTCTGTGGACAAGGGAGTAGAGCCCCACGTCTTCTGAGCCTCTTGGTCACTTGGGCCCGTTGGCCTTGAGAATGCTTTGGATTGTCTTCACGTGCAAAACGGGCCTATCAACCTGAAGCAAAGTCGTCGGCATCCATGCGCTTTCATTCAATGATCCTTGGAATGTCAGCTGAGAAGACACCATGTGCAAAGCTGCGAGATTCCAAGGAAACCTGGACGGAAATAAATGACATGACGGCCTTTCGCATAGCTGTCTTTGCAGCTTGGCGATTAGCGGTATTGCTTTTATGCTCTTTTGGTGCAGGCTGCGGTTTGGCTGGCACCAAAGAAAGGATGAGTGAATGAGTGGTTGGGGCTGTCAGACCCAGGGAGGGTGTGAGTGTCGTTAGTCCGCTTTGATTTTGCGAGGTGGGGTTTAGAAACATCACGGCATTATGGTTCTTGTCGTGCAAGCCAGGAACGACCCCACCAGTCACCTGACCCACCCGACCGCAGAAGGCATCGTGCTAGTGTAGCACTGAATACCTGATGATGACCGCCGCAATACAAAAAACAGAGACTTTATCGCGGCCGTTATAGTGACTTTATAGCACCCAAATAGGAACCGCTTATGTTAGCCTTGTAGTGACCCCGAAGCTCAAATCCTGACCGATCTGCCCCAAGGAAACACTGCCCCGACTTGACTCCAAAGATTCCATAACTAAAACCTAGATAGTATCCCTATAGAAACATGATAAATAAAGACCGCGATAGTGTAACCTTGTAGTATACACGTATGGAGACCTTATAGAAACCCCTTCTAGCCTCATCGTATCCCTATGGTACCCAACTGGCCCCTGCACTCCTCGTCGAACTTGACCTTCACCCTCCTCTTCCCGAGAAAGCTGGTGTCTGACCGTGGCCCGAAGGCCAAGACCTTCCAGCAGCGAACTGTGTTTAGGGCTAGGGTCGAGGGTTAAGGATTTAGGGTATGCGGTTTAGGGTTGAGGGTTTGGGATTTAGGGTAAAGAGGTTTAGGGTGCAGGGCTTAGGGTTAGGGTTGAGGGTTATGGGTCTGAGCCGTGAGAGGCAGGCGCTTGTTGCAGGATGGATGCTCTCAGGTGAGGCTGGTCACAAGCACTTCAAGAGCCTCTTCGATCCCAAGGCGCTGTGGGCGACAATGCCTTACAGCTTGCCACAATCTAGGGCATTGGCCGTTACCCCTCAGCTGACGGAGAACAACTGCCAGAAAGAAACACACACACACAGAGAAACACACACACACACACACACGCACGCTCCCACCCGTTCCTGTAGTATATATATATATATATATATATATATATATATATAGGTGTCCGAACAAACTTCTCAAAACTAAGGATCCTGTATGACCTATGCTGTCACCATATTACCGTGTCCTATACTATAGTTTTCAACTTACCCCTGTAGAGTATGACACTATCACTTGCCGGGTCGGGGGACCTAGTAAGTAGAGTTATAAGTACCCGAAAAGGGACCCTAATTTTCATCTTATGGTACTTATAACTCTATAAAATGCCTACTTAGTGAGTACCCCGACCCTCCAAGCAGGGTCGCCTCGTGGTCTTCGGAAGCACTGAGGAGGCCGTGAAGCCACGAGTGGGTCGCCAGCGGCATGGCGCTGTGGCTTTAAGCGAGCATGTGTTCTACTAGGGTGTAGATTTAAGGGTTGGGGGCTTCAGAATTTGAGGCTTCGTTGGACCTCCACCCCTGTTCTTCCATGTACGCGTTGTTGACATTGAAGTGTTTCAGTGTCTAATGTTTAGGGCTTGTAAAGAGGCCCTCAATGTAACCCCTATCGTAACCCGAAAAGACAGCCATATGGCAACCTTACAGCAACCCGTGTCGTGATTAACCGCTTCAAACCTTGCGATACCCTGAAAGTCGTCCTCATAGTAACCCTTCCGTACAGTACTGTAAGCCTCATAGAAACCTTTTATAGTGGCATGCAGATCTTGCTTCTTGATGCTCTTCGAGCCAGATCTTGTGCTGCGCAGTGCCCAGAAGGGTTTCGACAAGCGTTCCTGACAGTACCCATAAGAAGGGTGCTATAACGGCGCCATGAGGATACCATCAGGGTACTATCAGGGTACCGTAAGGTTGCTATGGGCATTACGGCAACACGATAAGGGGTACGACAAGGGTACTACAACGGACAATCGTGGCCCATTGAATCTGCAATGTCAGCAAGTCTTGATGCACAGGCAACAAATCAGAATAGGGGTTCGAAAGAGCTTTATGTGGTTTTATCAGCAGAAGAACCCTAAACCCTAAACCCTAACCGAATCGACAGGGTCTATCTATCTGGGGATATG